ATGCAAGCTAGGTGAATTCAGTGTAGACATCTCTGCCTCAAGAACTGGGCCCACCTTGCCCCCGGCTGGATTTCTCCCTCAAAACATCAAACCAACTTTACTTTTCCTAATCATAAACTTGGAAACAGTCTGTCATATAATGAGAGGAATGAAAAGCACCCTAAAGCACCATGGGACTGGGAGCCAGGGCCAGCGGCGTGGCACAATGCAAAAGACAGCTCGGATGGCAGACGTCTGACCAAGAGACCACTGACCCAGCCCGTTTCATGGGGATATTGATTCCGGACAACAGTGCATCTCCCGGGAAGTTACAGCTAGGTCTGCTTCCCCTTACCAGCGGTTCTGTAGAACTCATGTAGCATAATCATCTCTCTCAACCCTGAGTTCTGCATGTTAGCTGACAGTCCCCGAGAGCCAGGCTGGCCTTGGGAACAACTGCTCAGGTACACGGCCAGGAGAATCCGAGGGAAGCTGACTTTGATTAGAGTTATCCTGCAAGCCCCAAAGCAGAGGAGTGCTGGGCAGGTTAGGAAGACTAGTGGCTGGTCCTGATAGTGCCATGTGACTTCAGGGAAACTTTCGGAATTTTAGTTGCTCTATCTCTAAAAATGCACAATTGGACAACAACTCCCTTAAAAGGTTTTCCAGCTTGAAAATATGGCACTTATTCTGACCCAGAGGTATACAGTCTCCCCTCCCTAAGTCTTTCAGCTTTGTTTCTTCAGTAAAAACAGTGTGAAGTCCTTATAGGAACTTTAGGTATAAGCCCTCGGCAACCACAGAACCTTTAAACTTCAAGTAAAGCGATGATACTACTTTAAAATCTTCCAGCTGAGATTTTCCCTAAGGGATGTGTGAACATCCATTTTTATGGGGCAAGCACAGGACGAAGGCCTCTCTGTCTGAGGTTGTTTTTCAACAGGCTGATAACCACTGCTCTTCCCCTGCCCCTCCAACAGCTCTGCCAGAACAAGTGAGCATAACTAGGCCGACAGGGTTTCAACAATCTCCCACTAAGAAGTAAGCGGACCGATACTCAGGGCCACAGGCCGTCAGGGCCCCGAAGTGTCTGCTCTAGGTACGCCTTTGAAAAAGATAGAGGCTGTGCCCTGGGATGGTGCCAACACGTAGGTCCTTTGTCACAATAAATTCCTTGTTTCACGTGGTCCCTATGGGGCAGAGACTAAGATGGAAACTACAGAACAGAGACCAGCCAGAGGTTTACAAAGAGGGCAGGCTTCCCCGGGAGGTAGTGAGTTCTCTGTCCTCAGAGATGTCCAAGCCCAGCCGTTAACCCCTCGGTGAGACAGCAGGCAGCACGTCGGCACCTGTGGGGAGTGGACTGGATGACTTAAAGGCGCTTTCCCAACCTTGGATCTTGTCATACTAAGAACCGAGAGCCTTCGGTTCAACAGGCAGGGCCCCCAGAGGAAGCTGACCTCCTCCTCTCTCCCTTCTACCAGGCGTCCTTATAGGAACTTTAGGTATAAGCCCTCGGCAACCACAGAACCTTTAAACTTCAAGTAAAGCGATGATACTACTTTAAAATCTTCCAGCTGAGATTTTCCCTAAGGGATGTGTGAACATCCATTTTTATGGGGCAAGCACAGGACGAAGGCCTCTCTGTCTGAGGTTGTTTTTCAACAGGCTGATAACCACTGCTCTTCCCCTGCCCCTCCAACAGCTCTGCCAGAACAAGTGAGCATAACTAGGCCGACAGGGTTTCAACAATCTCCCACTAAGAAGTAAGCGGACCGATACTCAGGGCCACAGGCCGTCAGGGCCCCGAAGTGTCTGCTCTAGGTACGCCTTTGAAAAAGATAGAGGCTGTGCCCTGGGATGGTGCCAACACGTAGGTCCTTTGTCACAATAAATTCCTTGTTTCACGTGGTCCCTATGGGGCAGAGACTAAGATGGAAACTACAGAACAGAGACCAGCCAGAGGTTTACAAAGAGGGCAGGCTTCCCCGGGAGGTAGTGAGTTCTCTGTCCTCAGAGATGTCCAAGCCCAGCCGTTAACCCCTCGGTGAGACAGCAGGCAGCACGTCGGCACCTGTGGGGAGTGGACTGGATGACTTAAAGGCGCTTTCCCAACCTTGGATCTTGTCATACTAAGAACCGAGAGCCTTCGGTTCAACAGGCAGGGCCCCCAGAGGAAGTTCTCCTACTCCTCTCTCCCTTCTACCAGGCAGTTGCCCTGCAGAAGATTAAAAAAAAAAAAAAGGGGTCTCACAGAATGAACAGCCGAAATGCCGAGGGTAGACACAACCTTCCTGCTGCAATGATTAATATCTGCTCTCTGAAAAGCCAGCAGTGACTGGCTGTGACAGGGACATCGAACAACTTGGCAGCTGCGTCACACAGTGAGATTCCTTTTCATTTTATACCACCAGTCTTGGAGCTTTTAGTTTTCAATCTTTCGTGAGAGTCAGCTATGATCCTTTTCACATGCTGTTGCCAACCTAAGATTTTGCTCCTTAAAATAAGCAATTTGTTTTTCAAAACTTTAAAATGAAGCAACATGAATGGCAGGATGCTGACATTTCCAAGTGACAAGCTTCAGGACACAGGAAAGAACCATACCATGCTGGAATTGAGGCAGGAGCTGGACTCTGAGGAGAGGACAATGCCAGTTCTGGGTTTCAAAGTCCAGTTTTGCCCATGAGCACCAAGAGGAGAGAAGGCGATTTTGCAATGTCGTGGGGAAGACGCCAAGAGTCCTGGATGGGTGCTGTGACAATGCAGGTGGCCACGATGAACACCGCTTTCCTACAGCCCACTGCGCCCTGAGCCAGGCCCTGTGCATGGAGGCCCTGGCGTCTCCACAGGCCTAGAACACCGCCAGTTTGAAACTGCAGAAGAGCTAAGGCAAGTGGTTTAGCAGTTGGAGGAGAGGAGAGTTCTGCACGTGAGAGTACCCTAAGGTCACAGGGCTCCATCTTCTCTCTCACCCGACCTGTTTTAAAAGGTTGAAAAGACACCCACAACTTCCACCTCCCAGAGCACCTCTCTTTAGAGGAAAGACGACATGGGACTCCAGTGAGCACAGCATCTGGGGAAGGCGAAACATCTCCCCAGGCTTCACTGCGGAACAAAAGCATCGTAGACACACTTGAACAGAGGGACCGTGATGCCACATCTGGTATGGACAGGTACTGCAGTCTCTCCCACGTACTGTTACAGGAATGGGGATATGACCTGCTTGCTCACAATTTTGGTTTCAATACCAGAAAGACACACCTTCCTCCTCAGTAAGATACGGTCAGAGAGTGGGTTAATGATGCCTTAACCTGCAGACCCCGTTTACCCCCAACTCCAGCTCCTGGTGAGCCCTCTTGATGCCTAGGTCAATACCCTTCAGCTGTAGAAGGGAGGCACTCTACCTACACACAGAATCTGAATGACTGGAAACACCCGGAGAGCACCTTGATGTGCAGTCCATAGCTAGGAGGCCCTCGCGGTCCAGAGTATAGTCTATGTACATTCATTTACACATATTTAAAAAGGCTGTAATCTGCAAGGCATGCATCTTGAGCACTGCTGAAAGCTTGGTTGCAATGGAACATACTGTGCTGCGTGTCACGGCCCTGTCCCCTTCTAGTCTGCTCCGCAGAACTGAGACCTTTGCACACTTCGCCACTGCTCAGTGGGCCTCGAGCTCCGACTTCTCTGTGAAGGCGCTCAGATTAAGCCCCATCTGAGACATCCTCTGCCAGGCCAGGCTGGACGCTGCTCCTTTTGTCATTTAAAGCTTTAGAAATAACTAAGAGTTGGAACTGAGTGGGAAAATGATTCCTGCGATTTTAATACACGTTAAAATGGTCAGAAATTAAAACCCAATCCTTTCCTCTCTCACCCTTCTACCTGCCCCTCAACACACGGATTAGAGAATTTTACAACAGAATATTTTTGGATATAAGGCTTTGTTTTCACTGGATACTTTGGCTCTGATATAGAGATATCTGACTTTCTGAATGAAAAGTCAGGCTAATTACTGATATTTAAAACAATTGTTTTGGCAATCTGTCTCCCTCAGAGGGGGCAAACTGCTTCCCGAAATGAGCATTAGATGGCACTGACCTTGGCTGCGTAAACCCATGATCTGCCGCTGACCAGGGCCAAGGCAGCCAAGGCCAGCCAGTCGTTCTGTCCTCCAGCTGAAATCTGAGCGGGAGGCACATGGCCTTTGCCACTTTGTGGCAGCTGTGAACTAAGAATGACTACTTCTACAAACATTGCCCAAACACTAAGTGTTCCTGTCTGACGGAGCATTCACTGCCCGGGAGCCTGGCTGAAGCCATAACACATACTCTCGCCCCACACAGACGGCGCAGGTGTGCACAGGACCACGTCTCCTGTGACGATCTCTGTGCCGGTGTTTCTGGGACCTCAGCACATACAGTTTTGTTCTGCTCTGGGGCCCTCGTAGGACTGGAAAGCTCCTTGTTGGTGTGCCATGGCACCACACTCCAGCAGGTAAGGGGCAAGCAACGGAAACGGCAGAGGTCTCAGTAACAAGAGTGTGAGGCGGACGCTACAAGGCAGCCATTAGTGACAGCTCAGTTTGCCAAAAAACACTGACTGAGTGCCTGCTGTGTCCAAGGCACAGGATGAGGAAGGGGCACCAGGGACAAACTGATTTGCTGAAGAATGACAAAGCTTGCAGTGAAGTGGGACATCTATGTCCCCAGTGGGCAGTGTACAAGTCCAGACATGGGGCTGCTCACGCACCTCTGGCCTCAGTGGCACCTTGCTGCTATTCTGGGGCCGTCTGACATACGGCAGCCTGGTACACAAGGTGCCTGCCAAACTATTTCTTACCCCACGTTTCGGGCAGAAGCGACTTAATGCGCTGTTGAATGCTGTGATACATAGTTCTCCTTTCATTCTTTTTTATGATCCAGTTTTTTTCAGTCCAGTAGTTACCCTAAAAGACAGTCTTTCTATACACATGCTGAATCATGAGAATATAGTTCTCCTGACCAAAAAGATTTACAGTATTCGTCATTCAAACTTTTTTATTTACAATAAAAGTTAACAGTCTTTATGGGCTTAAATGCAGCGGACATCACCTGGGCATTGGCATTACACGTCATTCCTTTAGGGTGTGCTTCCTCCTCACTCGAGCTGCTTGCCACCCTCTGATTTCTGGTCCAGTCTGCTCTTGTTACTCTTCACCATGTAGATGAAGTAGGCGAGGGTCTCTTTTTCATTCACAGGTATATTCCTGAAGTGTCGGCTGACAGTCTACATTGGGGGAGAAACAAAACCAAAGTCCCTTAACCCATGTATAAATTAGGGTCACAGGGGACTAGCAGTAGGCATAATGGCTATGTCGCTGGATTCCCAGGTAGTCAACCATGGTTCAAGTCCCGGACCTGGTGGCTTAAACTCATGCCAGGCGTGTGTGCATGCGTGCCCAAGATCCTGAGAGGAGAATGGAGGAGAAGAGATTACGGTGTGGCCATCTCCCCTGGGGGGTGATTTACTGCTTTCTGTCTCTGTCTCTCTGGTGAGTGCATGCGCCCTATAGCAAAAACCTCTCCAATAAATAAATAAATAAGGGTCACAAATTCTTAACTGTGTGAAGAGAGAAAACAGAGTAGCTCTTAGCACTTGAGGAGGGAATGACGACTACGACTCAGCTTCCTGTAGTGATGCAGAGCTCGGAAGGCCTGACTTCCCAGGCGTTTGGGTGGTCTGCTTCCCAGGTTTCCTACGACACTACCAAGGTGCAGCTCTATCCTAGCTGCAGCCGACCATCATCATGGCATAAGTTCAGGGCCATCCCCATGGCCACTGTGGTTGGCCAGCAGCTACGAAATCGCTTTCTGTCTCTGTCTCTCTGGTGAGTGCATGCGCCCTATAGCAAAAACCTCTCCAATAAATAAATAAATAAGGGTCACAAATTCTTAACTGTGTGAAGAGAGAAAACAGAGTAGCTCTTAGCACTTGAGGAGGGAATGACGACTACGACTCAGCTTCCTGTAGTGATGCAGAGCTCGGAAGGCCTGACTTCCCAGGCGTTTGGGTGGTCTGCTTCCCAGGTTTCCTACGACACTACCAAGGTGCAGCTCTATCCTAGCTGCAGCCGACCATCATCATGGCATAAGTTCAGGGCCATCCCCATGGCCACTGTGGTTGGCCAGCAGCTACGAAATCTCTCTGGCCCTGGAATTGCATAGAAGTTGTTTTTTTCCTCTTATTTATTTTTTATTACATACATGACTAGCCAATTGAACAGATGTAGGTGTCTGGCCCCAAGAATTCCTCTATATAATTGCTTCTTGAAAAATGCATCAGATTTGAAGGAAAACTCATCATTTACTATATAAATTCCTGACACTTTGCTTTGTGAGTCCCGAGAATGCAGGTTTCCTCAGGCCCCACCTCATCCGGTCCCTTCTGTCAGGAGTGAACACTGGCAAATGGGTCCTGTTAGCTTAACATAGGAAAGGCTTGCCTGCCCATAGGCTTCCCCTGGACACTGGTGAAGGAACATGATGTCAGGACCAGCAGATGGCATAATGGTTATGTCGCTGGACTCCCATGTAGTTGACTATGGTTCAAGTCCCAGAGACTTAAAACTCACTCTGTGTGCATGCACGTGTGTGCCCAAGATCTTAAGAGGAGAATGAAGGAGAAGTGATTGCAGCGTGTCCCGGGGGTGATTTCTCGCTTTCTGTCTGTCTCTCTCTGTCCAGTGGTGCACGCTATAACAAAAAACTCTCTCTGAAAAAAAAAAAGAAAAAAATGATGCAATAGGGATAAAGCTCAGAAAAGACCAAAAATCAACCAAGCTGTGAACCTTTACAGAAACCCCCAAATGGATTGAGGTGGCTAGGACAGAAAAAAAAAGAGGGACAGAGAACTAGACATGAACCATGGCTATCTCTGGATGAAAGGATTATTACTATTATTTTCATTTTCTAAAGTTTTTTTTTTTCATCACACAAATTAGTTTTTAATGTATATGATAAAAATTTTTTAAGTCACAATCACGGCTAAATTCCCTATTAAATACAAGGTTCCAAGTAGCTGCTCTGGTTGTATATATCTTGAACTACTTTTCCTCCCAGTAAGTCCCTATGCTAATTCCGTCATAACACTTATTACATATTTTAGTTACTAGTTTGTCAGTCTCCCACTAGTCTACAGGCTCCTTGAGAGCAAGGGCTGTCTTCACTCTGCCTTTAGAAAGTATGCACGGGTATCAAATGATTCACTTAATGAGCAATACGTCTATTCAAATAATAAGCATTTGTCTATAGTTACAGAGAATCGCTAAATATTCTAAACTAATCTTAGTTAATTTAAAATCCTTAAATTTAATCAAACTTATACCAAGACTGGCTTAGCTTATGTTACGTCATTTTTAAAAACTGCAGCTTTGAGATATCTTATTATTAAAAGTTGATACTCATATACATAAACTAATATGAACTTAAAATCATACATTTAATTCATTTCTTTGCTTGACCTTCTAGTAAATCTTTAGCTTCATTGATTCTGGCTGCTATATAAGGAGATCCTCCTTTGTCTGGATGATTTAAAAGCATAATTTGTCGATGAGCATCTCTTTTTCCTTTATTAGCAGCAGGGCTTACACCTAATATTAATGCTGCTTCCTGTTTTGTCATTTGGGTTCAAATCCACCTCTGTAATAGCCACCACTGAAGGCCCGCAACCCCAGCAGCAGCAGTGGTCAGTCCAACTGCTACCACTGTACTGGCCATGGCTCCGGCTCGGCTTCCCTGCCTCCACTGCAAGTGCGGTTCACCCCAGCCCAGAGGCTGCAGCCACCAACTCACGCCTTTTCACCGGAAAGCAATGCAACCCAGCCACGACCTCCAAGCCCCAACCCTGGAGCCCAAACCCTGAGCCCAGGTGCTCTACAAATTGCGGCAGTACAACAAATTCTCTACAATAGAGAGATAAACATGTTAAGAAAAGAATGAGAGATTGATTGCCCATGCAAATGCCAAAGGCAGAAGTATCAAGTCAGGCAGGCAATAGATTTTATAAATGGCCAACAGAATACTTTTCTCCCTTCAAACTGTTAAAAACTCAAGACAGGAGAACACTTTCTTGGGTACCCTTCATTATAATGAATACTCCCATATTCAAACAAACAAACAAAACAATGACTCAAGGACTTAGAATGAGGTTCCTGAGATTCCAGACTCAATTTTGTTGCCACTTTGTTGTGTGAATTTAAGTAAGACTGTTCCTCTCTCTGTGCTATGGCTTCTTTTCTGGAAATGCGGGCCTTTCCTGGTCTAAAGGTCACCATTAGATACACAATGCTGGCTCTTTTTAAAAATTTGCTATAGGGCACATGTGCTTACCTGAAAGAGACAGAGAGGGAGGGAAGGAGAGAAAGGGAGGGGGAGGGAGAGGGAGAGGGAGGGAGGGAGAAGGAGAGCCAGAGGAGATGGCCACGTTGTAATCCCTTCTCTTCTATTTCTCCCCATTTTTGAATTTTGGACAGGCACGCACATGCCTAACTTGTTTCTCAAGGTACCGGGTCTGGGACCTGAACCACACAGTCAGCCTTGTGGGATCCAGCTGCCTTAGCCACCACGTCACTGATTGGTCCCTGGCTGTCTCTTTTGAAGAGGATAATTCTGTCTACCTACTTCTGCTAACTGGGCCTTATTGAAGCCTGGTCTGGTCTGTAATTTGTAGTGTCGTTTATAACGTCGCAGAGTGTTCACCTGCAGCTGGAACAGATCGACCTAGAGAGAAGAGGAGAAACACATTATGCGTCACCTGCGCAGCCAGGCCTCATCCAGAGCCCACTATGTGCCTAGCACTACCCTAGATAGGGGTGGGGATAGGGAGGGTTACACAAGAAGTCTCAGAAATGGTCCAGGAGGACCAGTAACTGGCTAGGAGGATAAAAATAACAATGGAAAGAGTTCTGGCAGGGGTGGGCTGATCCCAGAAGGCCAGTGGAGGAGGGAAAGCTTAAACTAAGGAGGGGTGAGGTCGAGAAAGGCAGTGAGAAGTAGAGTGGGAAATGAAGGTGAAGACCAGCGAGCGTGGAAAGCTGGGAGGTGAAGAGCTGGGCTCGGGGGTCACAGGTGACTGTGGTGGTTTAAGAGGTGAGGCCAGATGGCAGCGTGACTTGAAAAGCAGGAAAAGCGATCACAGATGGCGGAGGGTAACATTTCAGGAAGCTGGAGCTGGTGGTGGTGTGAAGGAAAGGCTTACTGGGTTGGGAGAGAGGGAGAGGCTGAGCCATGATCCAGAAATGAGATGATGACGTTGAGCTCTCGAGGGATGGCGATGCTAGCGGGGAACGCCGAGGATGGAGCGTGAAGGCGAAACCCAGAGACATCCTCAGGGGAGACACGGCAGAATTAGGCAGCACAAAGGGAGGGGGCACGAAGGACAGTGGGAAGAACGGCTTGTTCTCAAGTAGTTATTTCCTAGGCTCAGCCTTCAGGTATTAGAACCCTAGACAACCCTCCAGAGAAAGCTCAAAGGCTACTATGGTGAATGTACAATCAGCAGGTTAGGGTCAGGGTCTCTGCAGATGACTGAATAACAGAGGGGAAGGGACCCCCCCTTTTTGGTTTTCTAACACAGGAAGAGAGGAAAGCTGCACAGTCATGAAATATTGAAGGCCCAGAAAGTTGGGCTGCCTTTACCTGCCTCTAAAAGAGATGTTCTTGCTTCAGGCAGGTGGCGAGCACTTAAAAACAAAATGAATGATCAATATAATGGACCAAAGTCCTTCGTTCTTTTCAAAACATTCCTCAAACCTTTTTCTTTTCTTTCTTTTTTTTTTTTGGGGGGGGGAAACATTTAGAAATTGAATACATCATTTCTTTATAAAATAATGCAAAAAGCAACAGAAAGGTACTGTGAACCAATGCTGGAAAAGGGGACACAGGGAGGGGCAGAGGGAAAGGGCCAGATTTGTAAAGGTTTCCTCACATCTGCAGACAAAGGCCCGCCTACTCTTTCTATTCCTACGCAGTCATTTTCACTCTGAGTGCTAACAGGCGGATGCCTTATGAAATATTCATGTGTCAAATATTCAATGTACACTATAAACGGTTCTTCTTTTGCTGAGTCTTAAGTGAAAACAATTTAGATAGAAAGAAAATCCAATATTCCTGCCCAGAGCCTCACTTAATAGATACTAGCATCTTGAAAGAAAGGTGGCCTTCCTGTTTGAGACATCCAGATTTCGTGGTCTGGTGCAGTGGTCCTCAGTACTGGACATTTGGCAATGTCTGGAGACATTTTCACTGTCACGACTCGGGGTGGTGTGACTAGCATGGCGTGAGTAGAGTCTAGGGAAGCTGCTAACCATCATCCTACAATGCACAGGACAGCCCCCACCACAGAGAACTGTCTGGACCCAGGCAGGGCTAGAGCTGAGAAACTGGTCCAGTCTAAGTGACTTGGGAACGGATCCTTGGGATAAGCCTGGACCAGGAGCCAGGGAATCAGAGTAGCAGAGAATCCAAGCTGGTTTGAACTGACAATTTACAGTTTCATTTTACAGATCAGAAAATAGAGAAGAGACTTTCTCCAGACTCAAACTTCAAATGCAAAAATGAAGTTTTTTAAAAAATGTTGATACTGTGGTTGTATTTAAGCATACATCAGGGGCTTTTTGAAATGGCCTACCGGAAAGGTCACTAGACCAGAGCTTCCAAACTTTGTATGTGACCTCGGGTCTCTGTGCCAGTCTGTAAAATGATGCGTGATCAGTTGATTTTTAAGCTGTCAGCTCTCAGAGTCAATGTTACTATGATTCCATGATTCACTTTTTATATAAACCACAGCAAAACAAAAGGGATTAAAATTACTTCTTGGCACAAAAAGCAGATCAAGCCAAAGGCAAGGATCAGATTAGAATCTATTCTTCCAGCTTTCTCAAGCTGATTTTTTTCTTTTTGTCCTTTACCTCAGGAATGTCAGTGTCATGCTCAGGAGAATCTCCACCATCGTCACTTGTCTTCCTCTTCCTTTTATTTCGTACACTCTGGATAAAATTTTTGTGGAAATCGCAAATATATAGGTGTCTTACCTGATGGAAAGGAAATTAAAGTCAGAGTTGCCGGTTTCATGGAAATAACAGATAATTGTCAAATTATGGGGTTTATCTTCTTTATAAGTCATTGGAGAGGAAGAACAAGACGTAGGCCATACTTTCTAGAAGTTTTCTACTGAAGTGAAGAACCAGAATTACACAAAGAGAATGCTGACACCATACTGGGTAATGTGTTACAAACCAAGTCTAACTAAACATGAAGACAGTAGGTGGTATGGATTCAGGGGAGGATCGCTGCAACTGAGGTGGTCAAGATGGAGGCCCCTGACTGGAAGGGAGGATTTGCAGCAGGCAGGAACAGTCTCACCTCTGTCGCTTCAATCCAGTGAGGCGACAGAGGTGAGTGAGGAGTCTGGGGTGTGCAGCGTCAGGTGGGTGGCAGTGACTGCTCGTGCAGAAGCATGTCGAGAAATTCGGAGGCTGTAGGAGTTCTTAGGTGTTCCTTCAGGTAAGACAGAGTCCCTCAAGGTGTCTGAGCAGGGAGAGAGGTGACATTGTCAGAATATTTCTAGGAGTTCCACAGGAAAGCAGGAAAAAAGGGACTGTGATAATGACATATGGGACACCCTATTTTTATGCCAACAATAGCTACTATTGCAGGATGGCAGCTCTCTGAAACATTTTATGTCCATGTATCAGTTTCTCATCCTTTCATGACCTTGCATGTGACCCACAGAGAGAAGCAGAAAGAGATGTAGCAATTCTCTCAAGGTGAAACCACCAGGAAGGAGCTGGCTACTGCTGTGGAGGTTCTCACCCAGGCTGCAGGTGCCCAGTAAGGGAGGGCCATGGTACTGAGCAGCAGGGAACGTGTTTTTCTTTAAGAATTAAGTACCAGGGTTGGCTGGAGAAACCAATCAAAACCTCACAGAACCCAAATGCCTGTGTGAGTGACTTGGAGCTGTTGATACTCAAACAGATGTTGCACAAATGTTTGGAGAGATTTCTGAATTTGAGTTTATTCCTTAAACCCTTAAAAGTTGACAGAAAACCAGCAATGATTAACTCGGGCTTCCTCTTGGAGAAAATAATAAAAACTGTTTATGCAGATGAATTATCACTTTCATGCGGTTGGATTAGTGAGTCAAGAGTTAGTTTTAAGTTTATACTGTGATGGTGTCTAGCAGGCAGCAGGTTCTCAATAGATTCTGATACAACAGCAGGAGCAGTTCAGTCCTCTACTTCTAAAAGCCACCACTTACAGGGCTAAACTGGGACAGCTTGCCAGATGCAACCCTGCCAAAGGACTTTCAGACGTAGCACGTGCCGCTGTTCCCAAGAATCCCCCCTCCTTGGGGTATCTACTACTGCTCGTGCTTTTCTACAGGAAAGAAGCCACTGAAGCAAACTCTCCATCCCTCACAGGAAGTTGGGCCTCCATGCCTGGTCAGCCAGCATGCAAACTCTGACTAAGCGGCTCCTTGAGTTTGTGGAGTGACAAACTTGGTAAGCAACAGACAGAATAGGTGGTTTCCTAAAGTTCTGGCTGGGAGAGTTTAGGTCAGGACACTTGCATAACGGAATCCTAGGTGGAAGAGAATTTAGCACTCACTAGAGTATCCCCCGCCAGCCCCAGTTCATTTTTAGAGAGGTACACCGAAGCCACCCTGAGTAGGGACATGACCTGGCCAAAGTTAAACTGGTCTCTTTTTTAAATTTTTAAAGAAAATTTTGCTATAAGGCGCATGTGCTTGACAGAGAGAGACAGAGAAAATGAGACCCCCCCCTGAAGATGGTCACACTGCAACCCCTTCTCCCCCATTCTCCTCCTGGGGTCTGGGGCATGCACACACACATACACATGCCTTTTATGTTTTTCAAGCCTCCAAGTTCACCTGAACTGCACAGTTGGCATTTGGGATCCAGCCACCTAACCATCCCACCACTAGCGGGACCAGTCAGGTGTCCCAGTCCCTGGTACACGACTTTTCCTATCCCCTATTTTCCTCTACACTGTTCTCCATTTCTACTTTTCTCCAAAAAATAAAAAGCAGGAATCTGTCAACTGGAAGAATTTTTGCAAGTATACTTTATCTTAATAAATCACAGACTACTGCCCAATGCCTATATAACATGACTTAAATGCTTGAGTTGCACTTTTGGTGCTGTTACTTAAAACCGTTCTCTCTAAATCCTTTTACAAGATAAATAGTTACTGCTTTTCCTAAATCATCTATAAGTACATGCTTGTTTTCTGAAAGTTCAGAGCTCAGTGGTCTTTAAGGGCGAGGTAGGGGCAGAAAGACCTAATCAATAGCGATTTTTCTTTTTCCCACTTCACTTTCTGCAATAGGTAAAAATTCTTGTAGCACAGCAGTTACTTGGAATTGAATTCCTACCCAAGCCAGTGAGAATGAAATAGAATCCCTTTCAGAAATAATGACCCTACACCACCTTGAAATAAATTGTGAGTGATCCCACCTCAACACCCTACTCTTTCAGAAGCATCACCTTTGCGGAACACTAGTGTTAGGCTCCGGCTGTTTCTCTTCTAGAAGTGCGTGTGGAATGATCAAGATAGCTTAACACAGGTTTTCCAGTAGGATCTATGGGTAACCAGAGCCTCACCTTAGCAGCCAAATCATCCAGGGGTGAAGGTATCCAAGAGTTTAAAGGGACTATAAATTTATCTTTTTAAGGTTTGTAAACATAAAAGCTTGTAAACGTAAAAGCTTCTAACCGAAGACACAGAAGGTAGACAATGTCACTGAGGGGGTGAAGTCCTTGCTGTCTGGTCACTCCAGCATATGAACTAGGGATCACCTTGGAGGCTAGCCAGTTGTTTGCTCTCAAATGAATTTATTCATTCATTGATATAAATTTGAGTAAGAAGGCCATTAACTCACCCCCCTCCCCAACTATTTGAAAATAGCACCTGTTCTACATCAGGCTCTTGCATGGGACTTGGAAGTAAAGCGGAGAACTTGACCCACCTCTTAGGCGCACTGTGTGTATCTGGCCCCATCACTCCCTATCTCTGGGTCTCAGTTTCATCTGCAAAATCGGAAGGGGGAAAAAGCAGCTCCCTTTCAGTTTAAGAAGCAGATCTCTGACTTCCCCCAGCTGTGGAGAAATTTGGGTCCTAAAAGAGAAAGGATGCTAACCACCTAAGCTCTTAGCTGGTCTATCTGAATATTAAATAACCCCTTAACTCATTTCCAATTCCTACTGATGAAGCAGTCACTTAAGGCTTGCAGCAACAGATGTCAAACTAGAAAGTTCTTAATTGGTTGACAATAGGCACATCGCTAGAATTGTTAACTAGAAGTGGTGAAATCACACAGGAAAAGTTTCCTATAATTAGGCACAAAGCACAGGGTAATCCTACTGAAATTGAAATCTCTGACCCTCCTACCCCTGAATTTCTAAAGAAACTATCCCTATCATACCCCCCCCCCCCAGCCGCCCACTCACCAACCCAACC